TAATACCCATTCCTTTTTCATGGAGATTTTTTTTTTTTTTTTTTTTTGAGACGGAGTCTCGCTCTGTCGCCCAGGCTGGAGTGTAGTGGCCTGATCTCGGGTTCAAGCGATTCTCCTGCCTTAGCCTCCCAAGTAGCTGGGACTACAGGCACACACTGCCACTCCTGGCTAATTTGTTGTATTTTAGTAGAAACCGGGTTTCACCATGTTGCCCAGGCTAGTCTCGAACTCCTGAGCTCAGGCAATCCGCCCATCTCAGCCTCCCAAAGTGCTAGGATTACAGGCATGACCCACCACACCTGGCCAAGAGATGTTTTAAGAATAAACAAGACAAATGGGTAAAAATACTTTCAGTTCTCCTGAGTAAGGCACTACCTAATCCCAAAATAGTTCTATAAGAAAGAAAAAAAAATAGATTGGTGTGTTCTCGGCAGTTTCAATGAAGGCTATGGGCCCAAGATGTTTTAAAAGCAAAAAACTGTTAACACTGGCGATATATTGTCAAGATACATTTCCCTTTGGTTAAGAAAAGGAGAGAGGGAGGGCGTAAAGGGTGGAGTGGAAAGGAATTGTCATCAAAGCATTGTTAATATGAACTGAATTATATTACAATGGCGATGCTTCAACATGGGGAATGAAAATTGTTTCGTATTATTGTGGATTGACAATATGACAATCGTTCATTGAAAGTGGATGACAGCTGTAGCATTATAGCTCAGTGCACAACACAAGATGAATGAGTGTTACAAGTACTTCCAGAATGGGCCCTTATTTCACAAGAGTCAGTATCATCCCAAAATAAATACATGCCAGTTTTTCACTATCTCAGCAAATTTAGCATCTCTTTACAAACCAATGTGCTACCAGCGGCCTCAAAGTGCCTGTGTCATGTCCCTGCTTAGTAGATTTGCAGCAGCTGTGAAATGTCAAGTCAAAATGCCATGGAGGATCTATACAACACCTCGGCAGAAGAAAGGGCAAGAAATGGTAAAATGCTTATGCCTGGACATGTGTGAACTGACGTCAAACTGTCTCCCAGTCTACAGGAACACTGTTTCTGAATTTCTGTCTTGGCACCAGGCTCATTCCACCACAGACATGTGATAGTCATTTGTGTGCCTCTTACATCAAACTACTCACCTAAAAGAAGTAACACCATGCAAGCTTCTTGAAATTAACACACTTCAGAGGCCAGAGATATTTACATATCTCCTTATGTGCAACAAAAGTCATGCCTGCTTACTTAACCAAAAAAAAAAAAAGAAAGAAAAATCAAAGGAAAAAGCACAAAGACTACTCATAATATCACCACAGAGAGAAAGAGATAAGCCTTCTTCATGTTCACATATTAGTGTTTTTCTTCACAGTTTTAATGTATTTTTAAAAAACAGAACCTGGGCCAGGCGCAGTGGCTCACACCTATAATCCCAGCACTTTGGGAAGCCAAGGCAGGCAGATCACCTGAGGTCAGGAGTTCGAGACCAGCTGGTCAACATGATGAAACCTCATCTCTACAAAAAATGCAAAAATTAGCCAGACATGGTGACGGGCACCTGTAATCCCAGCTACTCAGGAGGCTGAGGCAGGAGAATTGCTTGAACCCAGGAGGTGGAGGTTGCAGTGAGCTGAGATCATAACACTGCACTCCAGCCTGGGTGACACAGCCAGACTCTATCTCAAAAAAATAAAGAGAGAGAGAACCTGCTACATATTCTGTTCTAGGGCCTATTTTTTTTTTAACTTAGCAATCAATTTATGGGACTTTTTTTTCAGCTTCGTAAAATATTCTTCTAAAATATAATTTTAAAGATTATATGTATTCCATTTTCTCTATAGACCCTAACTTACACAGCTAATCCCCTAAGGCTGGACATTTATGCTCCTTGCAGCTTTTCACTATAAAAATAATGCAGCTATTATATAATGTTTTCACATTTTCTAATTTGTTAGAAAAAATTTATAAAACCTGTACTGATTTCCTATGATCCTGACTATGGCAACACTCAAAGTAAACCTGGAGCAGCCCTTGGATTGGGGCCTCGAGCCTCACTGACCCATCAGAAGAGCCTCTGAAGTATTGGTAACAGCAGCTGAAGAGCTATAAACAATGGGCAAGTTCTCCATCTTATACTTGGAGAAAAAAGAACCACTTATCCCTTAATTGCTGTGGCCTAGTCTTCCAGGGTTAAACAAAGCAACATGTTTTGGTGGGTGTGAAAAAGAATAATACATGCAAAGGGAGGGGAATTACATGAATATTCTCTATGCTTCCAAAGTCAATATGAAATATAAATGTCCTCTAAAAACGCTGAGTGAATAATAAAACATGGGAGTTATTCATGCTATTATCTAAATATTTCTAATTATCTTTCAGGCACATAGTAGAGCTGTACTTCCTAGCTTTTGTGTGGTTAGATGGGATCATGTAATGAGTTCTGAGAAATAAATTGTGAGTGGCCGGGCAGGGTGGCTGATGCCTGTAATCTCAGCACTTTGGGAGGCTAAGGCAAGCAGATCACCAGATCAAGAGATCGAGACCATCCTGGCCAACATGGTAAAACCCCATCTCTACTAAAAATACAAAAATTAGCCAGGCATGGTGGTGTGTGCCTATAATCCTACTCAGGAGGCTGAGGCAGGAGAATCGCTTGAACCCGGGAAGCAGAGGTTTCAGTGGGCTGGGACCACGCTACTGCACTCCAGCCTGGCAACAGAGCGAGACTCTGTCTCAAAATAAAAAAATAAAAAACAGTTGTGAGCAGAGTGATGGGAACCATTTCTGGGCAGGGACATTAAATTGCTGATGTTAGACCCTGTGGAGCTCTCTCTCCTTCAGCATAACCAGCAGTGTGAGATTGTGGCTGGTTTTGTGAGAATGGGTCCCTGAGTAGCAATAAGTAGAAGAATCTCTTCTCCCTACCCACCCACAAAAAACATGAGCAAGAACTAAAGTTTTGTTGCTTTAAACCACTAAGATTTGGGGGTTCTTTTTTACTATACCATCACCTAGGTTCTCTTGATTGATAAATAATATTTAACTGAACTTCTTTGTGATCTCATTATCTAATTTAAAATATTCACAGAAAACTTCATTCTTCTCTACACATACAGTTTGAAAACCTGGCGAATTATAGACATCTTTCAGGTTTTCTGGGCTTCATTATGCAACCATTCAACAGGTATTTCTTTAGCGCCTACTGGCTGCAAGACAGTTACAGTAAGTGGGAAATAGAAAGATGAGGAAGATACAGCTCTGGGCCCGAATCACTTAAGATAAAGTAGGGAGGATCTGGTTTCAGATTTTCTATAAAGGAGGAATTTTCGGTTGGCAACTGGGTTGCAAAGGGCACCGGGAAGGGGGACTGTCTTGAGGCTGTGTTTGCATAGTAAATGCAGTCTATATGTAATCATACCTATTTTTTTGCGGCAATTCTGCAGAGAAGCTCGTGTGGAATACAGGAGGCTGGCAAAACACCTCCTCTGAGCTGCAGCTGGGACCAAGGGTACAGTAAAGACAACTCTAAGTAGAAGATGGAAAGTTCTGAAGGAGAGGTCGGAAAAAAGTGGCCATGGTGTTTCGAAGGACTGGAAGATGAAGTGTGAGTGGAAGAGACTAGGAGAAGGGTTTCAGTGAAGAAACTGCATCTGATAGGCTTTTGAGGCCAAGATTTCCACAGGGAGAGATGAGAGGAGAAGCGGTCTGAAGGGAGGGTGCAGCCTAAGCAAAGGCACAGGGGGACAAAGCAGAGGACTGATCAGGTATCCAGGGCGATGTCACAGCTAGTGCCTAGACAGACTGTTGGGCAAGTGCGGATTTGGGAGGAAGGCGCTGAGGGACTTAGAGGGATTTGTGCTTGGCTGGCTGAGTTAGGAAATTCAGGGCAGCGAGGTGGGTGTGAAGCAGGGATTTGAAGGCAGAGAATTATACACCAGGAAGAAGAAGAGGAGCAAGAGGAGCTGGTCCTGGCAGGTTTACTTGGCGGAAGCGCAGCGCCTGTATTTGAATAATGAAGTTGGTGAAACCGAGAGGGCTGCAACCAGAGATGAAGGCGCGGAGCCAGGACGTGGTTCACGCTGCGATTCCAGCTCCAAACTCGCAGCACAGGGCTGAGCACAAAATAGAAGAGCGATGAATGAATAATACCTAATAATATCCCGACTGGCTGGCTAACTGCAGGACAAGCCAGTTTTACAGGACTTGGCGGCCAGTCCTTTAAAACTTCTTTGTCTGCTCTTGGAGCTTGAGTTTGTTATTTACACCTTCCCCTCGCCAAAATGGGCACAGCAGAAGATGGAGGCGCTGCTCAGATCTGAGCATTGGGCTACCTGTAAATAGCTCTGGTTTAGCTTGGAGGAGACTGAAATTAAATGAAATGAAGTTTGAAGACTGTCTACGAATTTTAGCTTTAGATATTGTAAGTCAGCAATGACGGCCCTGACCATCTTTAAGTTCATGATAATAGGAAAAAGATAGGCTCTTTGGCCAAAAAAAAAAAAAAAAAAAATTCCAGCTCTCAACACTTGATAAGGCTTTTCCCTTTTGCTTAATCTGACCCTACATCCTTCCCTTTAAGAAGACATTTTAGTTTTGGTTCAAACAAACAGACAAAAATTAGTGTAAATGCTGGGAAAAAGCAGGTGGAACAGGAGAATGATCACTTTTCTGTGTGATCCTGAGTAAGCGTAGTGGATTTCTGGCCCGTAGTAGGGCCAAAGGAAAGTTTCTTGAGGGAAATGGACAGTTTAAACATGAATATCATTCTTTTGATATCTTCCCAAAACACGAGCAAACTCAGGAAGAGGTTACAGGAAACCTCAATACCCATTCAGAAATAAAACACAGGTTATTTTTTCAAAAGGCCTATAAGTGACCAAATAATAAAGCCATCTCCAAATGCTCAGGAGAAATTTATTGGGAACCTACTGGGCATAGAACTGAAGAAATTCTTATAACTGGGCTTCACATGATTGCAAAAACAGTGGGTGCCTTCACTATGTTTATTACCAAAGATAGCAAATGTTTTCCATGGAGAACTTCACTGGAATCTGTTTTGTCCTAAGTTCAGATCTACGAAGCCATAATTACCCAGGTAACTTGGGTCTGATGTTGCCTAAAATATCCAGGTAATTACAGGAGAAAGGTCATTTCCTCTGTGTAATCTCAACTATACCATTGGCTGTCTATACTGGCAGTTATCCAGTTAAGAACAGCCTTTCACATTTTACTTTGTACTTGCTTAGACCCTGCCAAGACTGAAAATCTTAACGAGTTTTTAAAAATCCCCTTTATAAATATTCCTCTTCCCTTGCCCCATTCCCTGGGATGATATGATGACTTCCTCACAAGATGATATACAAAATACTCTTTGCTAATTTTTATATTCAAAGGAAATGCATTCTAGAAAGAATACTGTGAGATGGAAATGAAACAAGAAAGGTGAAGAGAAAGAATGAACAGGGGTGCCAAGATCTGCAAAACTGTGGGGATTAAAAGATTCATAGTAAGGGAGAGAGAAAGAGAGAGGAGCAAAGCAGATATGCAGGTCAACAGACATCTTATTCAGAGTTTGAGCTTTGTCAACACAGGCAGTTTGGGGGCAGAAAGAAGCGCATCTGCTGGGCTGTGATTGCACAAGAGAAGCTACCATTCCTTTTCTTCACAAAGAAAAAAAAATGGCATTTATCTCAAGTACTGCAAGGCATATTAGGATTCACCTCCCCCATTCTTTCTTCCCTCTTCCTCCTACCATCTCCCTCGCCACCTCCCTTTCCTGTTGGAAAAGAAAAGGTGGGAGGGAGAGGAGGACCCACCGGTCACAGACAACGCTGTTGGATTCTCTTTCTTCAGCTTTTACCAGCCTATGGGGGTCAGGATGCTATTGGTTCAGCTTTATGTGTGATATGGTGCCTCTCACTTAGCAACAGCGAGCAGGAGAGGCAGGAAGCAACGCCACCTGGCTCAGCAAGTGTGCGGATGGTTTAAAACGAGCCACTCACTCACAGGGAGACAGAGAAGGGGAAGAGAGCAGGCTGAGCTTAATATATTGTACTATTAAGAGCAAGGCTTAATCAGAGTGTTAACAACAACCAACAGGCAGGCTATGGGGGAAGAGCAAAGACTGGACAGGAGTTATTTTTAATGAGTATCTACGTATAAATCATACACGTTGCCTTCATTTTTTTAAAGGACAAACTACACTGTACTGCCTGGATGGTGGGTGGAGAGAAAGATGGTTATCTAGGCAAAAAAATAAGAGATAAAATGCATCTAAAACTCTACAGTGCCTTTACTCGGTTTTACTTTGTTTTCACACCAGGGTGCTACTAGAAAAGAAAAAGTAAAATTGGGTATACTTGAAAAAGGAATTGGCTACGTAATTACAGGATTTTTTTTAAATTAGTCAACACAGTAGCTATTTCTAAATCTTAAATTCCATTTTAGCATTTGAAAATTAACTTTCTGGAGTGGAAAGTGGCAAAAGAGAAGTACATCTCTGCTAGAAAGAGATTTTTTTTTCCTTTGCCTCCTTTGTGGTAAAAAGGAAATTTCTAAGAAGGATGCTGATAGAAGTTCTAAAAGCTCAAACTGCCCGAATATAACAGGGCTCAGTGCCAACAACAACAAGGACATGTATTCTGCTATTCCATATTCTTTCATTTCTCTTAATAGAATTTTCCTTCCACTCTATTCTAGGTCTCCCCAACAGACTTTAGAAGGATTAGCTCACCTATTTATCCATCCCAACCCATCCCACCCCATAACATCTAAGATCCTAGCCTTAGACCCTAAAATATAAATGGGAAAGCATCCTTCTTTCATTCCTAGAGGAGAAATGGGAGTCAACTTGGGTCTTTCATTGGAGTCAACTGGTGCCCTAGAGACAAAGCCCAACACTCTGGAGGGCACAGATGGGCCTGTGTCTGCTCTTCTAAACCAGACCCAATTAACCCCTTAGGCTCTGAGTAGTAAAAGCCACTGACTACAGTGACACCTACTGCTCGGGGTACAGCTGTACATCCTCACACCACCTCCCAGGTTCTCCAAAGCAGCCATTTGTTCCACTGCTGTGGGCTCCACTGAACACACTTCTCTCTGCTCTGGGCTAACACCTGGAGAAGGAAATGTTCAGCCCTCTCATTCTAAGAATGGCCTCTGAAGCTATAAGTCAGGACCTTCTATAGGCAGGAGTCCTCAGCCATGGGGATACAACACACTCTCAATCTATAAAGTGACTAACTCTCACAGTGATTCCCTACAAGAGGGACAGAAAACATAAGTCTGCACAGAGCCCATGCCTCCTTCAGAATCACACGTTGAAATTACTTGTTAATCCTCTTTGATACCTGATGAAGTTATCCTGGAAAAAATGAAAGTTTTACTCAGTATCCACTGCATTTCACTCTGCAGAGAAAAATATGATATGAAACACTAGTACAATCAAGGTATCTAGAAATTCCACTTCTAGTTTATACAAGAGCATGTTAATTAATCCATCCCTTTTACTCTATGTATTTAGATACCAGAAATTTCCTCCCATTGAGAAAGAAATTCATTTAATTATGGAAGTCAAAGTTATACTGCTCTGAAGGCATAGCAAAAATACCTATATGTTGAGAACAACATCTATAAGTCTAAAAAAGGCAAGAAACAAAATCATTAACGGAACCCTTGACTTAAAACCATATTAAAGGCACAAAGAGCAGTAAGTCAGATGATTATAAAATTAATAGTTCAAGCCAGGCACAATGGCTCACGACTATAATCCCAGCACTTTCGGGGGCTGAGGCGGGTGGATCACCTAAGGTCAGGAATTCAAGAGCAGTGTGGCCAATATGGTGAAACCCTGTCTCTACTAAAACTACAAAAAAAAATTAGCCAGGAGTGGTGGCGCATGCCTGCAATCCCAACTACTCGGGAGGCTGAGGCAGGTGAATCACTTGAACCCGAGGCAGAGGTTGCAGTAAGCTGAGATTGAGCCACTGCACTCCAGCCTGGGTGACAGAGATGAGACTCTGTCTCAAAAAAAAAAAAAAAAATAACATAATAAATTTATTAATTTAATGGTTCAGGAAGTACAGCTTGTTTCATTTTTGACAAAGACGATCTAACAAATCTTCACCAAGATAGGTACACATTGAACAGAACACAAGTTATGCTGAAAATTTAAATATCACCCTTCTTTCTGGATGCTTGAAGTGCTATGCAAATATTTGCTTTTTATTCCCAAACATCAGACTTGAAATTACTGGATGTTATATTGTGCTATTCTCATTTTCCTGCTGGAAAACAGAGGAGCTCAGCAGTTTACCCAATGTCACAAAGCAAGCTGGTCGAGGTGCCAAGATGAGAACTAGGCTTCCTGATGTAAAGCTGTGACTTGACCACTGGGCCACCAGAACGAGGCAATTCTCTCTGAATCCCTGTGAGGACGATCTCAGACCTCTTACTGATGCCTCAGCCTGTGTGTTAATTTGTGTTACCGTCTCAGAGTTGTGACGGCCCTTATTTATACTCTTCTTTAAGTTTCTTACTTTGTGACCTCATTTATCAGTTGCTTTCATGAAATGGGTTAAGGAAAAAAATGAGAATGTGCAAGGCTCAAGTAAAACCTACGAAAAGCCCAGAAATGGTTCACGCGTAAGTTAAATAAAAGGAAATGTACCCACCTCTACCTGCCTAACTCTAATGTTTTAGCACTAAAATGAGGATGAAGTGAAAGGATGGATACTCAGAAAAGCAGCTGTACTGGCTCTCCACTGAGACATCGATCCACAAGGTGGAGCCACTGCGGGGTAGCCAGCCACGTAGCCAATTAATAGCACAACAGTGACATTTTCATTCTTTTCCATAGAATTTCCCACTGGCAGAACACACCTGAACACATACGTGTGTGGGGTGTGGAAAGTGTAGCTCTGTGATGCTGCCATGGATCACCTAGGTCCCATGCAGAAATCTGTTCAGTGGGGTGTGAGTGTTCAAAATGGCATCCTTAAATGTCCCTCAAAAAACCCATATATTTATTTATTTTTCTTTCTTTCTTTATTTTTTTGAGATTGATCCTCACTTTGTTGCCCAGGCTAGAGTGCAGTGGCGTGATCTCAGCTCACCATAACCTCTGCCTCCTAGGTTCCAGTGATTCTCCTGCCTCAGCCTCCCAAGTGGCTGGGATTACAGGTATGTGCCACCACATCCGGCTAATTTTTGTATTTTTAGTAGAGACGGAGGTTCACCATGTTGTACAGGCTGGTCTCAAACTCCTGACCTCAGGCGACCCACCCACCTCCGCCTCCCAAAGTGCTGGGATTACAGGCATAAGCCACCGTGCCTGGCAAAAAACCCACATATTTCTATTTGATAAGAAAGCTCCTTCCCTCAAAATATTCTTATATCTGCAACTATTTCCTCCTAACGAGGAAAGTGAGTAAGTGGTGACAAATTTGTCTCCATGAATCATTTCTTTTCCAGACACCGTTTTACAGAAAGTCCAATATCCAGTATCAGCCTAACGGACAGCACTTATGAGGTATATAGGGCTGTAAGAGGCCCACAGAATCCCCCCTCATTCAAATCCTAAAAGTTATATTAAGTCAATCACGAAAAGAGACAAATAAGGACGGTGGGCACTTACACATTCCTGACAGTAATATGAACAGCAGCCACCAACAACTGGCGCCCCTGGTTTAGTGTTGGGTAGGCTGTTTGGAAATTTGCGTCTCCAAACGGCCCCTTCCAATACTCTCATGTCTTCCACAGCAGCAGCATTCTCTCAGCACCAACCTGGAAATGGGGGGCACTCTGACTACTCCCCTTCATCTTCTTCAGTGACTCATCATGCCCCTTGAACTATTACTTTGGAATGTCTCACATCTGGCTCTCCCATCCCCATCCAAATTAGGTTATTCTGTCTGGGAGCATATCACTTTACATTCCCTGATCCTTGCTTTTCTCCTCTGGGTCATCTAGCTTCGAGATCCCTTAACTTCATTGTGTCAGATCTAAATAACTTTGCCACAATATGGTCCATGCAATCCTACTTTTATAAACAAAACCAACCATGGCAACATTCACACATGGGTTTATTTATTTTAAAATTTTTGATTGAATATATCAGAGGCCAGTAAATATTTTTTTTCTGTAGAGGGCCATTTAGTAAATATTTTAGGTTCTGAGGGCCAAAAGGCAAAATTGAGGCTCTAACGTAGGGAGAAAACACATTTCCACAAATTTTTGGTTGGAAAAATTCAAAACTTTTTTTCTGGACACTATAATTTGAATGTTGGTCAGCTTTCACATGCCATAAAATATTACCATTATGTTGAAATTTTCTCAACCATTTAAATATGCAAAAATCACTCTTACCACATGGACCATACAAAACAGGGGCAGGCTTGGGTTTTGGCTCATGGGTCAAAATATATATATCAAGTGGTTAAAACTGATGAGGGCTAGGAATAGGAAGGAGAACAAAAGAAAAGGTTTTTTTCCCCTTCACTTTTAAATTAAGACATGTCTGTATTTTATTATAGACATGTATTAATTGTATGTTCTGGAAAACAGTACATGGTCGGGCACAGTGCCTCACACCTATAATCCCAGCACTTTGGGAGGCTGAGGTGGGCAGACCACCTGAGATCAGGAGTTTGAGACCAGCCTGGCCAACATGGCGAAACCCCTCTGTACTGAAAACACAAAAATTAGCCGGGCCTGGGACACATGCCAGCTACTTGGGAGGCTGAGGCAGGAAAATCACTGAAACCGGGGAGGTGGAGTCTGCAAGGAACCAAGATTGAGCCACTGTACTCCAACCTGGGCGACGGAGAGAGAATCTATCTCAAAAAAAAAAAAAAAAGGAGAAAAGAAAGGAGGAAACCAGCAGCATAAGACTTGATTGTTGGCTGATTAAAATAAAGATTTCTTTAGAGCTTTAGGTTTCCTCCATATTCTTCCTATTTAACTTAGTTTCTATGTGGATGGCGGTCTCTTTATTATCTGCCTAAGATGCTATGCACCTCTCCTGTTTTCACACTTTTGTTGCCTGGCAAAATCATACTCATATTTCAAGGCATATTTCTTATTTCCTAACTTTCTCCTTTAAGGCTTCTACATCTATGACAGTATGGGGAAATCTTCAGTCATCTGATCATCACTTGTCAGCTAATTTAGTGTGTGTTTAATCTCATCTGCTAATTAGTATATGAGCTCCCCACAGGCTGGGACCACCTTAGAATCTTCATTGCCCTCGGAGGCATCAAGCACAGTGATGAGTCGTCAGCTCAGTCTTCCACAAATACCGGACAACTATTGATTTGGTCATCCTATGCTAAAACACAGCTGTAGAATATTTTTAAAGTATACTAGAATCAGTGGATGAAAGAAAGAGAGAAATTGTATCTTCATTTTTAAAAATATTTCTTTTTTTTTTTTTTTGAGACGGAGTTTCGCTTTTGCTACCCAGGCTGGAGTGCAATGGCGCAATCTCAGCTCACCGCAAGCTCCGCCTCCTGGGTTCAGGCAATTCTCCTGCCTCAGCCTCCTGAGTAGCTGGGATTACAGGCACGCGCCACCATGCCCAGCTAATGTTTTTTGTATTTTTAGTAGAGATGGGATTTCACCATGTTGACCAGGATGGCCTCGATCTCTTGACCTCGTGATCCACCCGCCTCGGCCTACCAAAGTGCTGGGATTACAGGCTTGAGCCACCGTGCCCAGCCAAAAATATTTCTTAACTTTTAGAGCTGTCCAACAATGAAATATGCTGCCTCTTGAAATAACAAATTTCCTGACACTAAAAAGTATTCAAAACACAAGTGTCTGACCATCTGTCAGGGATTCTGTAGAAGGAATTCCTGTATTATTTAGGTCAGACCACACGGCCTCTAAAGTCCCTTCTCACTCAAGAATCTGTTATTCTGATGAACTCTATTCCCCTACCCCAAATATCTCATTTATTTCTTAAAATTAAGTGATTCAAAGTAACGGGGGTGATAAGTTCACAACACAGATAATAATTTAAAAAAAAAACTAGTTCTTTGTCATTTTTTGAAATTCTATGGCTATATGAAGATGGTATTAATTAGTTTGTTTTAAGCAGGCTTGGTATGTATGATAAACCACCAGCACTAACCTGAAGAAAAAAATCCCAGAGCAGTGAGAATTTTTTGCCCCTTATTAAGACAGACCCCTGGGGCTGCTTTGCTTATTGTTTTTGTTTATTTGTTTGCTCATTCTTTTTATGAGATTACTGGGTTGCTATCACTAATCAGCTCTCTGGACGACAACATGTAAATCATGAATACATCTATATTTTGCTTATCTTGAATCTGGCTTTCTAGAACCTTTAGAATTCTGAGAAAATCCCAGATCAAAAGGAACTTAGAAACATATTTTACCACCTCTTGGGAGGTAAAAATATAGCTGCTTGACCTCTCAGCTACATGTAAACATGACTACAAAAAGCCAAAGGTACACAATTAAACATCATGAGTCCTTTCAGCAAGTTTACCTACTCAATACCCACCATGGGCGGTCAGACAGTGCTCTAAGTACCAGAGAGAGATGGTGACCAAAAACCCGGACCTTAACTCAAGGATTTACACTGGTCACCAAGGGAAGAGCCAGTTAGTAGTTTAAAAAAAGGTAAGAAATACACTGACATACACTGACTGGCTTGCAGTATCTATAAAAGACACATATGTATTCGAAAACCTAGAAAGGGAGAACTGATGCTAGGAGAGAAAACAGAAAAAAGAAAAGCACCTGGAAAGAAGAGAAGGCGGAAAATGAGGAAGATGAGAATCAGCTGCAGCAACAGCGGGGTGCATGGCATTAGAAGCAAGGTCTGGGAGCACAGACACTGACAGAGAAGAAAGGGTGGCTCAGGTGTTCCCAGAGGTTAATACTGGAAACCACTGGGGCTCCAGGTCCATGCATGTCTGCAGTCCGCCATGCTGCATGGCTCCTGCTGCAGGGAGTAATTCACTTTACCAAATTAACTGGTGTTCAGAGTAAGAAATAACCTCTCTACATTCCAGTTTCCCAAGTACTTTCTAAGGGTGTCATGACATATGTTCTGAAAAGCACCTATTTCAAGGCCTGGCACACAGATGCCCTCAGCTAATCTTAGTTTCCTTTTTTTTAGACAGAGTCTTGCCCTTGTCGCCCAGGCTAGAGTGCAATGGCACGATCTTGGCTTACCACAACCTCCTCCTCCCGGGTTCATGCGATTCTTCGGCCTCAGCCTTAGTTTTCTTTTTGTATTCTTGAGTATTAAGAAAAGGTTCTGGCAGGGCACCGTGGCTCACACCTGTAAATCCCAGCACTTTGGGGGGCCAACGTGGACAGATCATCTGAGGTCAGGAGTTCAAGACCATCCTGGCCAACATGGTGAAGCCCTGTCTCTACTTTAAAAATACCAAAAGATTAGCCAGGCATGGTGGTGGGTGCCTGTAGTCCCAGCTACTCGGGAGGCTGAGGCAGGAGAATCACTTGAACCCAAGAGACGCAGGTTGCAATGAGCTGAGATCATGCCACTGCACTCCAGCCTCGGCAACAGAATGAGACTTTGTCTCAAAAAAAAAAAGAAAAGAAAAGATTATATCCCACTCTAAGTCTTCTGATCATAAAAACAAATTAGGAATTACAATAATAGCTTACCATTATTGAGTGCTTACTGTGTGCAGGTACTAAGCCAGGAACATTAAATGTACTATCCTGACAATCCTATTACATGGGGTCCATTTTGGGGCAAAAGTAATGAAGATTAGAAAAGTTTAGTAACTTGTATTAGATCAGAGGGATAATAAATAACAAAGTCAGGATTTAAACCCAACCAGTGCCCAGCCTGGGAAATGAAGCAAGACCCCCGTCTCTACAAAAAATTTAAAAATTACTGAGGTGTGATGGCACACATCTGTAGTCCCAGCTATTTGGGCGGTTACAGTGGGAGGATCACTTGAGCTCAGGAGCTCAAGGCTGCAATGAGCTATGACAGCATTCCAGCTTGGGCAACAGAACGAGACCCTGTCTCTATTAAAAAAAAAAAAAATCCCCAAAAGACTAATATGGACTCCAGGAGTATTTGCCAGAAGATTTTTTTTTGAAATTATACAAAGAAGACAAAATCTTTTTGTCTTACATTTTTTTAAGATTTTACTCGCATTAAAACAGAAAAAAATCTAAGAACAGCCCCTTGGTCAGCAAAAGAATATTCTAAGGTGATGGCTAAGATAATATTTTATCAGTCTTTAAGAGAAAGGCAGTATTCCCTATAGTTGAATATACAGATAACTTGAAGTTTATCGCTAAAGACACATTTATGGAAATCTTTCTAAAACATTACATATTTATATTCCTGTATTCCTAAACAGAAAATACCATGTTCTTGATGGTTTATTATGAGATCATTGTTATGAATATTAGTAGCAATAATGGGCTGCAATTCAATTATCTTTGGGTTGGGAGGTATTAAACTCAGTAGGGCTTTTTGATCTTGTATTCAAGGATCCAAAATACCATGTCTTCCAGGTCTCCAAGTCTGCTTTTTATATTTCTTCCTATTATTCTCTGTTATTGTCACCCTTGTTGCTTTCACCCTGCTTCTAGTCTTCTTCCTCCTTTTACACATGGTTGGCTTAGGGAGGATCTCAAAGTGGCTCCATGCCTTGCCAGGGTTAAATCTGAAGGCTTCCACCGCCGCCACCACCTTTCTCTGGGTTGTGGGTTTTGTTTTTCAACTCACTTCCAGGTTCCAGATGACTGAGTTTGATGAAAGACCTCCGACTAAATGCACGGTCACTCGCATTTGTCTCTTTTTAAAAATGCTTTTTAAAAAATGGAATGTAGATTACTGGAGATGTATTATTTTATTCATCTGAGAAGTTAAAAGGGACCCTACTCTTTCAAAATTAAATATTAACAAATAATGGACAAGAAAGGAAAAAATTGCATGATTCTTTTAAAAAGTAAAATAGGCCCATATTTTCCCTTTGGAACACTTTGTCTTTGAAGCCCTTCAAGCTTATAATCCTTTTTTTTTTAGAGGTGGGTCTCACTATGTTGCCCAGGCTGGTCTCGAACTCCTGGGCTCAAGCAATCCTCCTACCTCAGTCTCCCAAAGTGCTAGGATTACAGGCATGAGCCACCGTGCCTGTCCCCAGATTTAGGGTATTTTCGAAACTTAGTAATTTGTGCTGGGTGCAGTGGCTCACACCTGTAATCCCAGCACTTTGGGAAGCCGAGGCGGGCGGATCACTTGAGGTCAGGAGTGATCTGGCCAAAACCAGCCCGGCCAACATGGTGAAACGCTCTCTCTACTAAAGATACAAAAAATTAGCCAGGCATGGTGGTGGGCACCTGTAATCCCAACTACTCAGGGAGGCTGAAGCAGGAGAATTGCTTTAACCTGGGAGGCAGAGGTTGAAGTGAGCGAGATCACGCAACTGCACTCCAGCCTGGGTGACAGGGCCAGACTCTGTCTCAAAAAAAAAAAAAAAAAAAAAAAAAAAAAAAAATCACTAATTTAAGTTTCTTCACTAAAAAAAAAAAAGAACCTAACATTTGATGTAATTTTTTCATTATTCCTGTTGAATAGACATTGGATATAAAATGAAAAATCTTATATATTATATATAATAAAATCATGTTAGATATAATACATGTATATACAATATAGACCATACATTTTATATATAGAGAAGGAGATTATATATGTCGCATTATTGTTAACCTATATTTTCTTAGTATTTGTATCCTGCCTGACTCAGTTATTTCATGTTCTCATGTTTCAACGTAGTGTCTAACTCCCCATGCTCTAGCTTTCTGGTATTCCCATTATTTTAATCCACTATCATTCTGTTTCATTAGTCTCCTGTTTGAGCAGTTAGCTTGTTTTATAATTTTTTTCCCTGTTCTTCTGAATTAGTCCTTTGGGTCTAAACAAGGAACTTCATGTTATTCGCCCAATAAGAAATCCAAACACAGAACAGAGAATAAAGGAAGAAAAAGAAAAAGAGAATAGATATGAGACAAATAAGAAAGAGTCTGGAGCTATGTTTTCTCCTGAGAAGACGGGATCTTCTACAGAAAAGGCCCGTAATAGCATCTGTTCTTCTGCATACTCTGAGCAACACTGTGTTTCAGGTGAAGATTGTCTTTTTCGATATAATTTCACTTATTACCTCGATTATTTAAATAAAGAGCAGAATCAGAATGCAGTGCTTTCTAAAACAACTCTCATTATTTCTACTGGAGCTTTACTTTCATTTTTAAAAACCTGTCTAAAAGGAGAAAGAAACAGGTATCTTTATATTACCAAAAGATTTAGGGCAACTTTAAGCTTGAGGAAGAAAAGAAAATCTTTCTTACTCATTGTAATATTCTTAGCACAGTCACAGGAGTATACCAGGTAAAATCAACACCGTCACAAGGCAAAGTGGGGATTCAATGAACACTTCTGAGAGGAATGCCTGCTGGCAGGGAGGGTGCTCCTTTCCCTGAAGAAAATCACTTCCCTTTACTGTACACACAGACCTATGGATGGAAAAGTTTCAAACACCTGATAACACCCAGTTCCTAAGGAATGTGCTCAGGAACAGCTGCTGACTGAGGACGATTTAGGTCAAAGGTGAAAAAAAGCTGGCGCGGTGGCTCTCACCTGTAATTCCATCACTTTGTGAGGCTGAGGCGGGTGGATCACGAGGTCAAGAGATCAAGACCATCCTGGTCCACATGGTAAAACCCCGTCTCTACTAAAAATACAAAAAATTAGCAAGGCATGGTGGCGCGTGCCTGTAATCTCAGCTACTCAGGAGGCTGAGGCAGGAGAATTGCCTGAACCCAGGAGACGGAGGTTGCGGTGAGCCGAGATCGCGCCATTGCACTCCAGCCTGGGTAACAAGAGCGAAACTCCATCTCAAAAAAAAAAAAAAGAAAAAAAAAATGCTCTGACATTCTCATTATCTGATTATTAAGGAGGTTTTAAAAATACTTATTATTTTAAAAACTCATAAAAGAAATGCATAAAGAAATGGCTGGATGTTCAAGAAAGGAATTACCACATCTAGGCCAGAAGATAGTCTGATATAGGTCAAATTTCATAAATGTGTATTAGCATATTCCTCACTGAAAGCACGCTGCGGTGAATACTGACCTATATAATTTTAAGTGTGTCTACAAGAGCTAAAGACCAAGATAAGATATAGGAAAAAATTAAAGGATTTGTTAGTTTGGCAGAAATTGTCAGGATTTCTATGGCATTATAATGGCAAAATCAAATATGCATCTTTTTCAAAAAGAAAAGCAAAAGGCATCTAAAACATAGGCAAAAATGTTTTTCTCCAACAAAATAATTATTATATATGAAAGTCAAAAGATCCCCAATTTTTGATATGATGAGATACATATAACATAATATCAATTTTTATTTATATTAATAAAGGCCTAGAAAAGTTTAGCTGGGATTTGCAAGACATCAAAACAAAGGAACAATAGAGTCATTAGAAGTTACAAGCCTGGCCGGGCGTGGTGGCTCAAGCCTGTAATCCCAGCACTTTGGGAGGCCGAGGCGGGTGGATCACGAGGTCAAGACATCGAGACCATCCTGGTCAACACAGCGAAACCCCGTCTCTACTAAAAATACAAAACATTAGCTGGGCATGGTGGCGCGTGCCTGTAATCCCAGCTACTCAGGAGGCTGAGGCAGGAGAATTGCCTGAACCCAGGAGGCGGAGGTTGCGGTGAGCCGAGATCGCGCCATTGCACTCCAGCCTGGGTAGCAAGAGCGAAACTCCGTCCCAAAAAAAAAAAAAGAAGTTACAAGCCTGGGCCGGACATAGTGGCTCACACCTGTAATCCCAGCACTTTGGGAGACTGAGGCAGGCGGATCACGAGGTCAGGAGATAGAGGCCAGGCTGGCAACCTAGTGAAATCCCGTCTCCACTAAAAATACAAAAATTAGCTGGGCATGGTGTCGAGTGGCTGTAATCCCAGCACTTCGGGAGGGTGAGGCAGGCGGATCAACTGAGCTCAGGAGTTGGAGACCAGCCTGGCCAACATGGTAAAACTCCATCTCTACTAAAAATACAAAAATTAGCCAGGTGTGGTGGCAGGTGCCTGTAATCCCAGCTACTGGGGAGACTGAGGCAGGAAAATTGCTTGAACCCAGGAGGCAGAGGTTGCAGTGAGCCAAGATCGTGAGAGTGCACTCCAGCCTGGGCGACAGGGCAAGATTCCATCTCAGAAAAAAAAAAAGAAGTCACAAGCCTAAAATCAAAGTCAAGTCTGTGAACAAAGATGAGCTAACTTCTCTTAATTTAACCCCTAATATGCTTTCCCTGATACAGCTCAGTAACATAGATCCTAAAAACATTATAAGAATTTCTTTGAACAGGGCATTAGATCTTTGAACAGGGCATGGTCAGTCACAGTAAATGCACAGAATACCATTTCAAAGACAGACACTAAATTAGTAGGAAAGTTAACAGTCTTGCTTATTTTACGGATTTCTCCTCCAAAGAGTGTCAGACACTTTATTAATGTTATAAAACAGTATTTGAATAACCATTGCCTACGTAAAATATTGCTATTATAAACAATATTCTGATGCCCTCAAATATTCTAGAATTCATTTAAATACAGATACTTAATATTTTGTTCTTCATATAAAAGTTAAATGCTTGACCTATTCCTAGTTACGGTATTAATGCAACAATCATTGTGACCACATATAAGTGGGAATCTTCGTACACATGCCATTGGATTTCAGTCACAGGGCCCGGTTCCAGCTGAAATGCAGCAGAGCATAAACTGCTCAGTTAAACAGGAAGGGAGAAGCAGCAACTGGGGCCCCAGAAATCTTTGTTTTCATTCCAAGTTATCATGAAGAAGTATGACGGCTCAGGTTTTATATGGTCAGGAGTGACAAAAAGGCACGCATAGTTTGATGTGGACTTCTGTGTGGCCTCCACAAGCAGCACTGGATTGTCAAAGCTCTACTCATCTTCCCTTTATTTTTCCTGTTCCCTCAGCCACCAGCGCCAAATCCTAGAGCCATATTTCATTTTTCAGTGAACACCCTGGGAACAGTCATTGCTTTTTACCGGAATTGGACTCAAAAGAAAACACAGTCCCTAAGTAAGTTAAACAGTTCAGTGCACCAAAGAGCTTGATCATAGAGAGAGATCTGCCTAATGAAAGTAACCTCCTAACTACGATATGGGAGACTGCATTCACTGTCTAGTCAAAAAACATACTGCCTCTGATACGGGAAGAAGACAGCAATCTAGCACCTCTAAGATTAGCAAGAAACAAACTGCTGTTCTTAGAAGGGCTGGTATGAACGAATTCCAAAGGATTTTTATAATCATAACAATGATCAAAGTTCACTGTGATGTAAGAGTTCCAGTACATCAACTCAAGACAAGTAACAAGACCAAGTTTACATGCAGTTACTAAAATACAACCTTGGCCAGTAATAATTTGTGCCAACCGAGATATAGCTTTCACCTATTTAATGAAAAATAAAATAAGAAAATACGATGGTCAGCATGGAAGTGATCTTCGTGAGAAAGGCTGTTGCTTCTATCAGAAGCAGTCACCTTAGTCCAAAGCTTGTTACTTAGACTTCATTTGGTGTTGGCAGAAAGTACCACTAACTGGCAAAAGGAACAGAGAAGAGAATGACAATATGGTGCCTGTATATGCAACTGCCACAGAGCCCAGTGTTTTGACATTGTTACTGAAACAAACTCAACTATTTATGAGAGCTACATTGAATCAGACAGTTGGTGTGGCAGAAAAAAACATCTGTTTCTGAAGTCTTTTTGTCTAGAAAGTCACTAAGGAAGGAGGAGAAAGCACAGCAATCCCCAACACAAATACCTCCAAAAAGCCATAAATAGCATCGTCAAGTGGGAACAGATACCTCCTGCCCCCATTATAACAACACCCAACAGACTTGGTTACTTAGAAGCCTCAGATGACACATCACTGTGGACAGCAATCTCTCTTCTGGATAGTTCAAAGACTCCCTCCTCACACACTGAAAAAGGTAACATACCTTCAGACCCTTTTGCCTTTGTAAGCAGAGAATACGGGTAAAATTAAACTTTTTTCTTGGTCTTTGGATCATGAAAATCAGACAATTTAACAGGCAGTGGTGAACTGTCTCTTATGCCATCCTGGTTCCAGGACCAGCAGCACTGGTATCACCTTGACAGAGCTGCAAACACTATACTCAGACCCCTCCCCAGACCAAGAATATTAAATCCGATACTCTTGGGGCAGGGCCTAGCTAGCTATGTTTGAGCAAGCCCACGAGATGATTCTGATGGAGGAGAAGGTTTAAGAACCAGAGTCATCTGCTAAATGACTCTAAATTGCTGTTCTCTGAGAGTTGTCTGTCTGCTTTCAATGGGTTTTCCTGCTACTTGCTATTATTACTTATTTCTGCCCACCATGTGGCTGCCTTTTGTCAGTCCTTCTCTCTTCTAATTTGCTGTATCTAATCTGCTATAATTTTAAAAATCATGTTCTTCACATGTACCCCCAAACCTAAGATGCAATAAAATAAATAAATGGGCAAAAAAAGGAAAGAAATCAGTTGTTGCAGTGGTTAAAATCACGTATACAATGCAAATAGGTAGGATGAAATGAGTAAAGAACTGCTCAGGAATGGGAAAAGCACCGCTATGAGGAAAATACATAGTTCTAGGGTATAAATTTTGAGCATCTATTTTGGTTATGTAGAAGTTTTTGCCACATATTTCCCAAACTTCACAGTACTTCCTTGAGTTTACTCCTCATCAGGAGAATAGGTGGCTGGACACTGAATTCTGGTCGGTAAACCTGTTTCTGTAGTTTACAAGTGAATCACTGCAACATTTATCTTAACATTTTTAATACAAAGGATTACCACTCATTAAATATTTGTTGTGTGCCAGGCACTGCGCTAAACATTTTACTTAGCTCCTCACAACATGATACAGGTATGGTCAGCCCCATTCTAGATGAGAAAACGGAGGCAATTTACTATTGAGTAACCTGCTTATGATCATAGGGTTATTAAGAAGCATGGCCAGAACTCAAGTTTGCTGGATTTCAAAGCAAAATAATTTTACTTATTTTTGTTAACATATCTGGACCATGAAGGAAAGAGGCAGCCAGGCTTGAACTCAAAACATAAAAGAGATAGAAACAGAGACACAGAGAGAGGGGGAGTGAAAGCCACAGAGAGAGAAAATGAATCTCAAGAGGAGGACAGGGCTGTAATAAATGGTCAATATTTAAAGAGGCATAGATAGATCCTTCCTAGGAAATAATCAGGAAGACAAGTGACTCCGGTCATGCCATTCTGTCTGGAAAGCGAAAGCCTGCTAGTGTCCCTGGTAAGAGAGGTCCCCTGTCCTCCTCCCACACAATCACTGTGGGGCCCTATCAGCACTATCTCCACTTCCAGCCTGGTCCACATTTTGGGGTAGCCTTAAAGGATTTCCCAATCTACTTCCCACAGGGGCCTATATTCCCTTTTATAGCTTGCTCTGGGGTCTTTACAGTTTTTAAGCTTGTTTAAAACACACAAGATCTTCCTATTTGCAGACATCATGAAGTTAGAATCTTCCAGCAGAAGACTGAGATACTGTAACTGACAGTAACTGACCATCTGGAACACTATAAATGTCTCCTTTACTTCTTATTTTGTTTATTTGTTTGCTTGCTTGCTTTTTTAAAAAAAGTAAAAGGAAAGATTTCAAGTTGTCTTTCTTTTAGCCCAAGATTTTACTAAACATACAGTAGCACTATGATATGTTGTGTGGTGCTCTCTAGAACATTGAATATACAAACAGATCCTGTAGGTGGATATGAAATAAGCTGCATTAGGCATGCGGAAAGAGGTTATTTAAGAATGTGCTCATCAGGCATCAAGACAGACCCTGTGTCTTCCTAGACTCCTTCTCCTTCCTTAGAGCTGCTGGGAAAACTCCATTTCTGACATCATCCCCATTTCTTACTGGGGAAAATCAGAAGCAGACTTTGTATTTTAATAAGCTGGTTCTAATCCATATTTAATCGCATAAATGGGCCTCTGCTTTCTAAACTTCAAACAATCTCCTTTGATTTGGTGTTTTGAAGAATCTATATCATTGGTGAGGTATTTCAGGGGAAAAAAACGTATTTTATAAAGTACCTAAGGCAACAACTGAATTGAGAGGTAAATCCAATTACTGCATAAGCAAGGTATCTTAGCATTCTGATATAACACTTATGCCAGGGGAAATGTAAGCAGGACATTACAAGCCTTTCGTGTTCCGATAAAATGAAAAGTAAAGGGAACACAAGTATCCAAAGTTTTGTCAATTAGTGGCATATAAAAGTGCTTCACTAATTTGTAAATGTTTCTGTTGTTTATGTAGTTGGGTTAGAGGGTGGCTTTCTGCTTTTCCACACTTCAAGAGCGAGTTTTTTGGGCTGATTCCTGGATGACAGATAAAAGGTAACCATCCACCAGCTTGGGCCTCTCGCTCCCAGCAGATCAATAAGGAACAAAGCTTGAGTCCCTTTTGACTCTGCTGTGGCCTGGTGCTCTTTGGAAGCCAGTATTTCACAGTAGAGTGTATTCATCAACTCAGTCTGTCCCTCAAGAAGAGCACGCCTTCCTTCTCTGTCCACCTATCAGAAAATCACCACTTCCTCTCTCTCCCGACCTTCATCCCTCCTCACCTTACCAAAAACAACAGAACAACTGTGCCCTAAAGCTCAAGGGAGGCTTTTAAATTTCATTTCTTAAAGCTCTCTTCTAATTACTAGGTCTTCTCAAGGCCCTTTTCAAATTGCTGGAAGGCTCCAAAGATTCCAAACTTTCCATCTACTGAAAATGAGGATTCTTTCACCCAAATCACCACTTGGAGCTCTTGAAATCAAAAACAGACATGACATTTTTCTAATCACCACCAGTCAATCTGGACTGAGGTCACCTCTGCCTTTTCATGGACATATAAAGTCACCTGTGGGGTAGAACTCTTACCCATGAAGGTGTGTCTCTACCATTAAATGCCAAGACCTAGTAGCAAAATAGAAGTATAAACCTGATTTTTTATAGAGTAAAATCCAAAAGCCACTGTGTGAAGTTATATATATAGTGAGAAAGATGTGAAGGTATACATCAAATTAACATTAAACACTCAGTTGTGTTTGGACTTACGGTTGGCTTTTTTTTCCCCCCCGAGAAAAATTCCATCAAGGTAGAAGCCCATCTCTGTAATATTTATTTTACAGAAGTGGAAGAAAAAGAAATAATTATTGCACGTATCAGCTGGCTCTACTGATGGTGCTGTTTCTCATATAAAACACAGCCCATTTTTTCTGCTTTTCGAAACCAGGGGCAGCCTTTCACCCACAGAGCTGTAACTTTCCAAAATCAATGCCTCTTGGCTTTCCCATCTGCAAGATCTTCTGGATTAAACTCGATGCAGACAGTCTCTGCTGACCTTCACCGCCTGTCAGACTAGCAAGCCTAGAAGAGTTTGTTATGAGAATTTGGACCCTGACTTATCCATATTAAGATTTTTGAACCCACTGTGGAACAGCTCTGCCTTCTAAGCCTCTCCTAGGCTATCTAAAAGTTACAAGTTGTATTCTCTCTTTAAAAAATAATATTGGTGTAGGTAAGCATATTCATCTACATCTTTTTAGGAAAATTTTTTAAAAAATTAAAAAAAGTAATCTCGGCGGTTCACACCTGTAATCCCAGCACTTTGGGAGGCCGAGGTGGGCGGATCACCAGGTCAAGAGATGGGGACCACTCTGGCCAACAGGGTGAAACCCCGTTTCTACTAAAAATACAAAAATTAGCTAGGCATGGTGGTGCACACCTGTAGTCCCAGCTACCCGGGGGGCTGAGGCAGGAGAATCACTTGAACCCGGGAGGCGGAGGTTGCAGTGAGCCAAGAGTGAGCCACTGCACTCTAGCCTGGTGACACAGCGAGACTCAGTTTCAAAAATAAAGGTAATCTAACCCTTGAAAATCCAAAGCTATAGACCAATTGTATCCATGTGAGATTATCCTTATCATAAAAAGGGCTTTCCTCCGCCTGGACAACCTCACCACCACGTTTCCAGCACCTCCATCAAACAGGAGGGTCCATGAGGAAACACACCACAGCACCGCTCCTGGCATGAAGAGGCTGCACAGTAAATATCTGCTCAATGAATAAATGACATCCTAACTTTACAAAAGGATTTACTCAAGGTTTTCTTTATTTGTAAGAGCTTACATAGACCTCTGATATGTGCAACTGGTGTGGACACTGTTACTGATGATTGATCTACACACAATTTTCAGGGACACATCCATGTGTCTCAGGCACTAGCCAGACCAAAAAAGATGTGTGAAAATAAGTACATCAGACATACGAAACATCCCAGATTAGACCTTTGCTTTTCAAGACTGGTGTGTGATAACTGGAATCTGAGAAGTGAATGCATTTAACCAACAAACAGACGTGAGTATGAATCACAACTTTGTTATCACACAGAACTGATAGCCACTCTGAGCCTTGGTTTTCTAACAATGGGAGTGGTGATAATGCCTTTAAAGTTGCTGTCAGGAGTAAATACATTATTAAGTAGCTAACATAGCGCCTTATTGCACAGAAGACGTGGAATAAAGGCAAGCTCCTGATATATGCAACAGGTTCCCTGGATAACATCGGCATTGCTCTACTTGCTGTTCATCACAGAGGTTTTAGAAAGCACCATTCTGACACTTAAAACCCAGAGCTCTCTCTCAAGAAGTATAGACTTCTCAGGCCACACGGTCAGCTTGCCCAATTTGACATGTATGTAGAAAGATGTGCCCTAGGAATTAATCTCAGAGCACGCAGTTCCACCTTAGTTCGGAATACAAGGATATCCACAAAAGCAGGAGCAGGAAAAAAAATCGTATTACTGAAAACGACTAATATGAAGTTTGGGGAGTCAAAGCTGAATGATTGTATGTATAATAAATGGTAAGTGAATTCCAACTCTATTTCCAGCAAGGTCACCAGAGGCAGGGAATATACACAACACAGGAGGCCTGTGTGGACTGGCCTAGAATAGCCAAACACTTGGCAGGCAGTGCCAGGACTGCCCAAGATCCACCCATCTCACCAACTGCTGCTTCCTTTCTGGGAGATCCCATCCAATTTCAGTCTCGATTTGTATCACTTTGAACCTAGTATCTGTAGATCAGTGTTGAGAGATGAACTACAAATCTTTTAGTGCCAATTTTTCAGATACAGAATTAAAGGGATTTTATACCACACAGGCTATTTTTAATCTCAAAGATTTTCAATCTTTTATGTAAATGGGTTAGGGCCAGCCAGCATCACTTAGACGAGCAACCTCAACAATAATGTTCATCTATGAATCTCTGAATAATACATTTTGGCATGACTTTTCTCCAATATTAAAGCTTTCTGGGATGTTTTCACTAGTCTGGAAGCAGGAAGAAGAACTCAGGATAGTAATCAATGAAGTCACTGAATGTTTCAGCCTTGGTGGGCCATTCAGAACAAATTTTAGCGGTGTGTGTGTGTGAGAGAGAGAGAGACAGAGAAAGAGAATAAGAAAGAAGAGATACAGAAAAATATCTCAGGCTCTCAGAAAGGATTTCATTTCCTCTAATGTTCAGGGAGATGACTTGAGCCTAGTTATCAAAATGGCCAAGGGTTTGCAAATCTGTCACACAGATTCTAGAGAAGTGCTTGGGATAGACGTAGTTAGGGAGGGAGACAGCGTAAGTGGTATTTATAATAAAAGTTGCTCCTGTCTCTACTAAACACATAAAAATTAGCTGGGCATGGTGGCCTGCACATGTAGATCCAGCTCTTCAGGTGGCTGAGGCAGGAGAATCGCTCGAACCCAGGAGGTGGAGGTTACCGTGAGCTGAGATCACACCACTGCACTCCAGCCTGGTGACAGAGCGAGACTCCATCTCAAAAAATAAAAAAAGAAAGAAAAAGAAAAAGAAACGAAGTCAGCCTGGCACAGTGGCTCATGTCTGTAATCCCAGCACTTTGGGAAGCTGAGGCAGGAGAATCACTTGAGCCCAGGAGTTAAAGATGAGCCTAGGCAACATAGTGAGATCCCATCTCTACAAAAACAAACAAAAAACTTGCTAACAATGTCTATATGAAATTAAATTGTCATGTCCTAGAATATAAACATAATTAAGGTAGGGAGGGGTATGGTTGATATTAAGTTCCTAAAACAGCAGAGTTTTCTGTATTGTCTCAATACTTAAAAAGCATACTCAATGGTCAAGATTAGGCAGCTATTTGTGATAATAAATATAGCATAAGGCTGAATTTTTTCTGCATTTAAAGCTTTCAAACATTTAAAATGTATACTTCAGATAATATATAAATGTCAATCTTAACCTTTCTTTTTTCTGCGACAGAGCTTCACTCTTGTTGCCCAGGCTAGAGCCCTCCTGGCTTCCAGGAATTCTCCTGCTTCAGCCTCCCAAGTAGCTGGGATTACAGGCATATGCCACCATGCCCAGCTAATTTTGTATTTTTACTACAGACGGGGTTTCACCATGTTCCCCAGGTTGGTCTCGAACTCCTGACCAGCAGGTGATACACCTGCCTCAGCCTCCCAAAGTGCTGGGATTATAGGCATGAGCCACTGCACCTGGCAATCTTAACCTTTCTTAATCTGCTTTTTGTGAACAGAAAGGCCTTTTCTGACTTAGCCTTGGAAACCTTGGAAGTCACGTGACATCACTTCCATGCATTTTCTTGATTCAAGTCATCACAAGCCCACCCGGATGCAAGGAGAAACAGACCTCACCTCTCAATGGGAAGACTGTCAACTAGTTTTGGTGCCATGTTTTGCAGCTGCCACAGTGGTTTTATCAGCCTTTGCATTCTCTACCATCTTTGCAGATAGTTTACTCTCCCATAAGCCTGAGCACACACAGGCTGCTTTGGAAAGCACATCATGAATTATTCTCTCAAGAGGAAGGTATAGTACAAGCACTAACTTGAAGGCACTCACAAAGGAATTTTCAAAGACACGTAGGGGGTATGTGTGCTTAAACAAGGGTCTCTGCCTAGGCACTTTTCAGACTGACTGAGTCATTACTTAAATTTGCAAGAGAATGCAAACAAGCACTGTTCTGGAAAGATAACTCTACCAAGAGCTCATTCTCCCAGTGTTAGAATGAAACGAATGTGGATTTCAATCCTGACCCAATCACTTCCAAGCTAGACCTTAAAATATATTACTTCACCTCTCTAAAATCTGTTTTCTCTTGCAAAACAATAACAAATAATAGCACCTATCTCATATTGCTGTAAGGATATAATGTGTAAATACCTATAAAAGATGAAGAGTAGGGCCACGGTGGCACTCAATAAATATGTGTTGTTTTTGTATCATTACTACTATTTAAAGAGTCTTCGGCCAGGCGCTTTGGCTCATGCCTGTAATCCCAGCACTTTGGGAGGCCTAGGTGGGCAGATCACCAGGTCAAGAGATGGAGACCATCCTGGTGAAACACGGTGAAACCCCATCTCTACTAAAAATGCAAAAGTTAGCTGGACATGGTGGTGCGCACCTGCAGTCCCAGCTACTCAGGAGGCTGAGGCAGGAGAATCGCTTGAACCCGGGAGGCAGAGGTTGCAGTGAGCTGAGATCACACCACTGTACTCCACCCTGGTGACAGAGTGAGACTTCGTCTCAAAAAACAAAAAGAGTCTTAGACCACTCTCTAGCACATAGTAAGCACTGAGTTAACATTAGCTACTAATGTAATTTGGACCCAATACCTTCACTTTCTTTGGTTTCATCGGCCTCTCTACCTCCCTATTGCAACCAAACATTGAAAGGGTTGCTGATGAATTTTACAATTTGACAGGTCAGAACTTCTCATTCCTTCCTTCTCTATACTCTGAAAAAGGTGAAAAAGAACAACAGAAATGCCACTAGATGGGTAACTTTTAGAAAAATCAGGTTTTGTAAGTAGCTTGAGTAGCCACATAATCAATATGTGCTTTTATCATATGTGACAAATGCAATAATGTGATTAACATGGGAAACAAATTCACCTTGATTATTGCAACTTCAAAACGTTCCTGTCCTATGGGAGAAGGGAAAATGTGGAGTCTTTTCACATGGTTCCACCATGCAGGGGCTGGCTCTTTCTCTAGTAGCTGGGATTGTGCCACTGCACTCCAGCCAGGGCGACAGAGCAAGACTGTCTCAAAAAAAAAAAAAAAAAAAAAAATGTAGGCCAGGCAGAATGGCTCACGTCTATAATCCCAGCACTTTGGGAGGCCGAGGTAGATAAATAATCTGAGGTCAGGAGTTTGAGACCAGCCTGACCAACATGGCAAAAACCTATCTCTACTAAAACTACAAAAATTGGCCGGGCGTGGTAGCACAAGCTTGTAATCTGAGCTACCTGGGAGGCTGAGGCAGGAGAATTGCTTGATCCTGGGAGGCAGAGGTTGCAGTGAGCCAAGATTGTACCAGTGCACTCCAGTCTGGGCAACAGAGCAAGACTCCATCTAAAAAATATATATATTTAAAAAAGAGCCAGACTCTAAGTTTTGTGAGGGCCAGGACACTGTCTTGGTCACCATTACATTTTTGATTCCAGCTTCAATATTTCCCACTTGGCAAGTGCTTCAGAAATACTTGTTGAATGAGTAGCACACATTCACATTACAATAAATGGTTGGGAAAAAAAAATCTCTTCATATTTTAGCCTAAGTGCTTTGGCTTTGAGGGCTACAGACGGTCTCATTTTAATTTATATAATAATCCCGTTTTGCCATCATGAAAATGTTTCTCTTTGAAGGTGAGCTTACTTTTTCAGTTCACTGCTGAAGATATTCAGAATAAAGTAGAACACACTCTAGAAGGAAAAAAAGAGACAAGCTTCAAAACTGAAAGCAGAACCCACACGAACAAGTGAACAAACTGCCTTGTAGCATCTCTGCAACTGACACGCGAGAACCGAAATGAAACTGGCTTTGCTCAGCAAAGCCCAAATCAGAATCATAAAAACTCCTCAAAATACTACAAATAGCACCTATGTGACAATGAACATGTTTTAACGCCTCAACACTCCGTGGACAAATGCCTTCAGATGAGCCATTCCAGAAGGCAGGACCCCTGCCTAAGGCAGCTTCATATTGAGCTTGTTATCGTTATTCGGACTTGGTTGAGCCTTGCACACACACAAATGACTTTTCCCCTCTCCCTCTGGTTTAGATGGTAATCCATTCAACATCATTAGGGAATAGAAATGCCCCCTTCCCTCTCCAGAGGGGGAACCTCCTCCGTGCTAATAACCACACAGCTAGGTCTGGCCCTGCAGCCACCTTGCAATGCGGCCCTGGGGTCTTCGTGGGCACTGCCAATCCTCCCACAGCAGGTAATAATGTGCCACCTAAAGAGGAAGGCAGTATTTTTCTGCCCTAAACTCCAGCATCCAGGATCACTCTCCTAGGTCTCATCTTCTGAAGCCTCCTTTGTTTATCGGACGCATATTGTGCACCTTGTCATTGTTGGGAGGACAGAAACAACTGGCATTCCTCACAAGCTGTCTGTCCGAAGGAGCTGCTGCAGAGGACCCAGGACTCACGTGTGCGCAGACTCCACACACTCTTTCTCTCCCTCTCTCCCCCTCAGGAGCGCTGCATGGCTGCCCAGAACTTGTCCCATCCAGTTGACTCCACCATCCTTTTCCTTCTCTAGAAAGGATGTGTATCTCCAGGAGACACATTCCTGCGGCTCCGTGAAACCATGCAGGCACAGACACTTGCCTAGCTTTTTAATTTTACAGCTTTTACACTGAGGTGACACCCCTGTCCCCAGTCCTGCTATCATGGCTATTCCCATGACCACTGTTAGTTTTAAATGTTAAAAACAGAGAGCTCAGCTGGGCATGGTTGCTTACGTCTGTAATTCCAGCACTTTGGGAGGCCGAAGAGGGCAGATCACCTGAGGTCAGGTGTTCGAGACCAGCCTGACCAACATGGAGAAACCCCGTCTCTATTAAAATACAGAATTAGTCGGGCGTGGCGGCACATGCCTGTAATCCCAGCTACTCAGGAGGCCGAGGCAGGAGAATCATCGAACCCAGGAGGCAGAGGTTGCAGTGAGCTGAGATTGTGCCATTGCATTCTAGCTTAGGCAACAACAGCAAAACTCTGTCTCAAAAAAAAAAAAAACAACAACAACAAAAACAACAACAACA